TAATGTATTAACAATACACACCAGGATAAATCAACACGGTAACTGCCTGGCTGGGATTGAACCCACCACCTTCTGACTCAAAGACAATAGCTCTTCCTGTCAGCCACAGCTGAATGATGGGCTGTTGTTCAGAAATGATGCTGTCATAGCCTGAAAACTGTAGTTTGGTAAAAATTCCATTGTTCCACATATTAAATAAACCGGACTCCAGACGCCTGGTAGCCTTGAGTTTTCCTGAACAGATGTACAAAATTGGACTGTCACTTCCTGTGATGAGTTTCAACAAATGTTTTTATAATATCTCAAGTCCTCTTATAACCCTAACCCATAATATCCGTAGAATAGCAGCTGGTAAAATTATACAAAAACATGTCCAGGATGCTTTGACTCAAAGGGTAAGTGGATGTCTATGAGTCGGAAGGTTTGTGGTTTGTTTTCCAGCATGGCAAAGTGAATTTCGGAGAGACATGTTTTATATATGTGCGGGTTTGCTTTGCCTCTTTAGTTCGCAGTTAAGAAGTTGTAACGGGGTAAATGGATGTCATATCTTATGGAACTAACAAGGCTGTGGTAATTGTGGTGTAAAAAACGGAAATGAAAAGTCAGTGTGAAAGCAACGGAGGCTGAAGTCCAGTTTATTCAATTGACATGCTCCAGATGTGCTGATGCCTTGTCTGAACTCATCACTCGCTGTGATGAGTTCAGACAAATGTTCTTTAACAATATCTTGATGTCCCCTTGTAACCCTAATTCTAACCCTAATATAGCACCATATCTTACACAGCATGGCAAAATGTAAGAGATGGTGCTATATGGAAAGCAAGACGGTGTGATGTGCAAACTACTACTAGTGTAAAACCACTTTCCTTGAACACTTGCCAACCAGTCTCTCTTTGACTTTAACCATGCCCACAGTGATGCAATAAAAGTGACTGTTCAGTGACAAATGGCAGTGTGGCAAGATTAAGGGTTACAAAACAAGGCAATGCTTACATCTCCTACTGTTGATGAACCAACAATACACTTCGTCAATTGCATATGTGTGTATTAGAAAATGGATAAATGTGCTTAAACTCCATTTCAAGTTTAAATATTATCAGACAATGTCATCAGCCCACTATCTAGATTTGAGTGTGCCAGAGAGTACAGCATGCAACTCAGTGGTGAAAACGTTCAAATAAGGAAAGAGCATGGTGTGTGCGTGTTTGAGTGAATGTGCATGCATCTGTGTTTGCCTGCAGGCACATCAAGAGTATCTAGGTGAAGGTTCATTGAGGCAGTGATAATAGAGCGCACCGCACCTATTTGTCTTTTTGCCAGATGTAGATATAGGTCCAACCTGTACGGTTGATAAATTGTATTTAAACTATTTGGATTATATTGACTGTAAAACAAAATGCCACATCATGCACTTTTAATTGTCCGAGGTTTTTTATTGCAGTATTGGACAACCACAGTCAGGCCATGCTGCTTAAGTGTTTGTTCATTTTTTTTGCATTATAACATGTTTTTTTAAATGCTTTAGAAGAAGGTAGACCTGAAAATATCGTTCATCATGCCACAACAGTTCTAGAATTGCACCTCTTCATTTTTTTTCATTTAATCGTTTATTTGAATAGTACATTAATGAACACTTTAGACAAATAATGCTTCAAGTGTAAATATGCCGGATTGTAGCTTTGAGCTAATTTCCATCCGTAGTCCCTGACATACAACATATAAGAACATGACATTTGTAAACATAGCAAAAAATAAATACATGATATGCAAAAGAGCAAGAGCAGCACACACAAGTATTTACTACGTGGCAGTACACTATAGCAGCAACGACATATTAAGTGCAAGAGATGATACAAGAGATGCATAAAGTGCATCCTCCACAGCTACTGGACAGAGAGCAGACCTCTTTTTCTAACAGCCTGATTCAGCTTAAATGTCACAAGGACCGATACAGGACATCCTTCCTGCCAAAAGCGATAACTCCGTGCAACACCTTACCACTGGCGAGCAGAGAACTCGCAGCTTCAACGTTTATTTTTTAACCAAAATGTATTGTTTTACTCTTTACCATTTTTCACATATTGTACTCACACTGACACACCTCATTTACATTTCACATTTGAGAAAACTGCAACTACTTTGCACACTTTTATCATTTATATATTATCCTATGTTTTTTTCAATTGCAAACACATTTTTTGCTTTATGTGTCATTTTAGTGTGTTAGCAACTGATAAAAACTGTCAATCAACATGATAACTGCATGGCTGGGATTGGATTGAACCCATTGGCTGGGATTGAACCCATTGGCTGGGATTGAACACACCACCTTCTGACTTTCTATTCTATTTTTTAACCAAAATGTATTGTTTTACTCTTTACCATTTTTCACATATTGTACTCACACTGACACACCTCATTTACATTTCACATTTGAGAAAACTGCAACTACTTTGCACACTTTTATCATTTATATATTATCCTATGTTTTTTTCAATTGCAAACACATTTTTTGCTTTATGTGTCATTTTAGTGTGTTAGCAACTGATAAAAACTGTCAATCAACATGATAACTGCATGGCTGGGATTGGATTGAACCCATTGGCTGGGATTGAACCCATTGGCTGGGATTGAACACACCACCTTCTGACTCTTAGACTACAGCTTTTCCTCTCAGCCACAGCCGAAATATGGGCTGTTCAGAAATGATCAAGTCATAGCCAGAATGTCCCAATCGAGATAACGGTTTTGTTGTTAGAATGGAGGTTTTTTTTAAACGGGGAAAAAACCCTGAAGTTTGGTAAAGCTAGAAAGAAACAGAGGCTTAAGTCCAGTTTTTTCGAAATGACATATTCAGGAAACCCGGCTCCACACTCCTGGTAGTCTTGAGTTTTTCTGGAACAAATGTGAAAAATTGATAGTTACTTCTGGCGATGAGTTCAAACAAATGTTCTTTAACAATATATTTGTGTCGCCATGTAACCTTAAAAAACGTAGAAGGCAATCCTGTAAAATGTGACTGCAATATGTACTGGTGTCTTTGGCTGAAGGGGTAAATGGATGCCTAACAACCTGAGAGTTGCTGGTTCGCCTCCCAGCATGGCAGAGCGAAGTGTGAGGTAAGATGCCATGGTGTGACATGGGGATCACGTGAATTGGGAGGGTGGTCAACCTGGGTCAACATGAGTACAGATTACCCTGCAACTCCTGCATTTTTTTTTTTTATAATAATGAAATAATAATATGAAAATAATTGAAATAATAAAATGGAAAAGATATCTAATTTAAACAAAGTAAAATAATAATAGGAAAATAGATAATATAGTCATAACAACTTTAAGGACATTTAATATGAAAAATAACTAAATGGCCCAAAAATATTAAAATTAAATAATACTAATAAAATAATAAGTAAATAATCAAATAAAAGAATAATAAGAAAATACATTTAAAAATGTAAAATAAAATGATAATATAATACATAATACGATCATAAAAACTAACTTGAAAAATAAAATACAAAGATATTTAATATGAAAATATGAAAAAAAGTTATACTAAAACAAAAAAAAATGAAGTGATAAAAATAGGAATTAAATTCATTACTTTTTAGTTAAATTTGTTATAAAACTTGACAATTATATTGAATTAAAAAATGTTTTACAAATAAAAAGAAATTAAAATAACACATTTTGTTTTATAAAAGGGAACAAATATTTCTGTTTGCTGCTTTACGAAAGAAACATACACAAAGGTATAGGTCTTTTTATGTTTTAATTTCCTATAATCTTTGTGAGTTTTCATGTTTTGAGGGATTTTGTGTCCTTGCCAGCCTAAAGGGGACACCCACTACCTCCGAGGGACAAAAAAAAAGGTTATGTGTTCTAATGTTTTCAAATCAATCCTCCCTGCTTAAGCTGCTGTATAGCTCAGTGGTTAAAGCAGCTAGTCCATATCTCAAATTGTGTGAGAAATGGGTCCGAATCCCCAGCCTTGTAGAACATTTTGGGCTGTATATTAAAAAATGTGTCTGGCCATAGAACATCATTTAAAAAATAAACAGTTTCTAAAGAATATTCAATAAAATTAAGCAAATGCAATACAATTATTTGCAGCATAACGGTTGAAACTGTGTGACCGTCAGGTCAATGGATGCATACTTCTTCTGCATGTGATGAGGCGCTGTGGCCAGACCCAGCTAGGTGGCGAGATGCAGGCAGCCTCAGCACATTTCTTTCCTCTGTTTTTTGTAAAAATATTTTGACAAAAGTTTTCCTTTCCATTTCCAGTATTTGACAGAGGCATCATTTTTGTTTACACAACTGTAACTATGCGTTGTGCATGAATGTTGCACCAATTTGTTTTGGAGAAAAACAGAAGTATAACAACAGTATATATTTGTTTCTGTACATATTTTTGTAGACTTGAACAATCTTTATATGCAGAATTCTCTACATACAGAACACCATAAAAAATGTGTGTGCTTTAGATTGAGCACCACAGTGTGTAGTTGGTTGGACACAGTGTCTTGTACTATAAGGGAAGTGTGTGCCATTTGGTGCAAAAGTTTGGTTTTGGTAAGTGTTTATGTAGTTTTGAGTGCAGACAGTGCTTCATTTTGCAATATATATTCGGTGTTTTGCACTTGATGTGTGTGGTTTTGTGAATTGTGTTAAGTGTTTTGAGAAAATAAGCCCTGCTTTAAACGTGTTTTAGCAATTGAAAAAAACTGTAAAATACAATCGAACTCAACTCAATATGTAAAGCATTCTAGATCTAGAGAGCAAAGTAAAATGGTTAGCGTTAGGACCTGGAGTCCGCCTTCCTGAGGATGAGGGCGTAGGCTCTGTCTGCCGGTAGAGGAAGGTGCAGAGACCGCCTAGCTGCCCGCGCGCACAACCGCGAGGTCCAGACAGCATCACGAGCGATGCAAGTTAAGTGTTGCGAGGAAACAAACTAACAAACAGAAACACCTCGACCACATCGTCTTGTTTTAGCAACGATTACACAAACACTGCACAGTGAGCATGTCGGTGCAATTAGCTCTGCACGAGTATGAATTCGAGAGACAGTTCAACGAGGACGAAGCCATCCGATGGATGCAGGAGAACTGGTAAGGCTACATTGTGATAGCGCCTCGTTTTTTAATCCCACAATACAGTATTCCTCTGCAAAACTCTGCATAAGTACGTGCTTAAAGTGAATTGGAGGCTGTAGCCGTGCACATGCATCCGCCTCGCTCACCGGGATTAAACCTAGCCATATCCTATTATATCAGACCCACTGTCATCATCCGCAAATTGCTGCTTCTGCTTCATGAAATGAACAAATTCATGGAGGCCTTCAGCAGCGTGTGAAAGCGATGCTCTGCCACACTTCAAGTCTGTCTGAACTAGTGACTTCCTTCATGGCTCTCCGATAATGCTTTGTGCATCTTTTTATGGGTATTCTCATGGGGTTTCTATTTGATTTCCTGTGATTTATTCTTCCGTCAGTTACCGCCATTCCCCTATAAAGGTCATGCATGACTCTAGCTGCCTGATTCATTTAATTAGTAACTACCCCAATGGCCTATTGAACCTCTTGGTGTTCTCCTCAACATGAAGTGGTCATGGTCATGGTCATGATTTGTTGTAAAAGTAACTTCATGTACTGTAAATTGAAAGGATATCACTGTATAATTATAGTGATGTAGTCTAACTGAGAATGAAAACATCTTAATACAAGTCACTCAAACAAATTCCATTATCAATAGTTTATGTTCATTATTTTTCTGTATACATATGTTAAGGGCTCAAATTAAAACATATTTGTATTGTTGATGAATCCATCGATAGTCTTTAATGAACCATAAGACTAGAAACTACAAGATGCCAGACTCTAGAGTCTAAGGTCTTCCAAAAGTTTGTTTGCTCAAACAAACAGTCCAAAACGTAAACGATATTCTAATGGCATTGATAAAACCAAAACCTAAAACCATACTGAGATAAAATCAACAATTTGAGAATTTAAGTTCATTTCAGAGCAAAAGAAAGTGAAAGAGATGGGCGTTGAACTGCGCATTAAATAAGAGGACATTCTTATGTACAAGTGTCATATTTGCTCAGGGCAGTGTCTGCAAGACTGTACACAACAATATCAGGGAATTATATGTTACAGTGGCTATAGGGTTAAGTAAATATTGCTTTGTGGTTGTGACCATTAATGCATTTCATATGTAGGTCATGTGCTGGTCCATCCAAACATCCTTTGCATGAACAAACTTAATGGTCATTATTATCCAGGTCTATAGGTTGAGCAAATAAATGGTACTGAGCAAAACAAAATGACTCATGCGTTAAGATAGCGGTGGGCTTCATTAAGCATTCAGTGGCACTGAGTTTGCATAAAGCAGCATACGGTGAGCAGGAGGCATTCATCTGGCTTCTATCATCCGTTTAAATTGCGTGTAGAAAAGAGTCATTGTTAGAATCTCATTTTTGCCACAAATTCAGAGCCTATCTTAGAACAGCTTTTTTCTTATTCATTGGAATGCAGTCTGGGTGTGTGTATGTAAGAGAGAGAGAGGGGAACTGTGTGGGAGCAGTGTGAGGGAGCTGTCCATACCCTGGTACTGACAACTGACCAATCACGTTAGTCTTCTGATGTCGGCTGACGGAGAATTAGCCAATCAGGTTGCAGCTGATCTGTGCTGACTTCTCGGCAGCTGCTCATATAGTGGAGGATGTCAGACTAGGCCAGTGCACATGGCTGAAGGGGAACAACCACAGAAAATATGATTTGATAGGTTGTTTATTGTATTTTAAATGTTCAGGAAGCTACTGATTAAGCATGACATGTTTTGTATTGCTTAAGGGTAAGACAGAGAAAGGAACAAAATAAACAAGTTTAAAAGCAAGTGTAAAAAATAAGCTTTAATTCAGTGTGATAATGAAATAAAACTGCCTTGCTCTTTCAACTAGGCTAAGCCAAAAGCAAATAATTATTTTACTTTTTGGATGACAAAGGGCTGCTAAGCAAGACTGTTTGTTAAGTTTTCATTGTTTCTGATTCTCTTTTTAAATTCCATTTCGGGTGCAGTTGTTGTCACATTTAAATAAGGAAAGTAAAAGCAAAAATATTTCCGAAGATTCAGGCCATTAACAGTTTTACAGTAATAAATGGCAACACACACATTCATTTAGGGCTAATTTACACACTCTCGAAAGTGCCGGTCCATTACACTTTAAACACCAGTGTGCACCGATGTAGGCCAAGGTTGAGTAGGTCTGAACTACTGCTGCATAACACTCATGTGTGCTACCTTTTGACTGCTGTTGAAAATGCCTCCTGTGACATCACTGAGGTTAGGCCCGAATTGCAACATACTTTTACGTTAGTTTTAAGCTACAGTAATACATGTGTTGCAAAACAGACATGATGAGACATCTCTAAACACTGTATATGCAGCCTACTGTACATATCATTGTTCTGAAGTGAAAACTGGAGACTGGTACACTGATCTGATTGGTTCCCTTGAGACCGGCAGCAGACAGCTCAGCATTGTGACTGAGTAACCATTCGTCAGATGGCTGGGAAAAGGAAAAGGAAGGAGTGGACAGGGACACAGATGATGTAATATAGCGACAACAGGTTCATCCTCTTTCCATCCTATATCAAACACAATAAAAATACAATGGACTCGAGATCTAGTGGAGATGCATACAACTATTTTGGCCATGCATATAGTACACTTTTATTTTCTACATCACATAGTTTAACAAACTATGTTCAGACAGACAGCATATCACACTGGTTTGCATGAGCATTTGCTTTTTTGTAGAATAGATGCATTTAGTATGTCTTTTATTTCCTTATAGTAATAAATGCATTGGCTGGGATTCTCTGTGATGGTTAAAAAACTGGCAGTTCAAAACAGCCTGTTATTTGTTGATAGTGTACCTTGCCATCTAAAAGAGAGCTGTTAGCCTCTGTTATGCACACATCTTTAACTTGCTGAATCACTCTGTACTCCCACAAACGTCACCATTTCCCATCGCCATGCAGGTTGCGTTCTCTGTTTATTGAGAAGCTGCTGGGGCAGATAGCATCGCTGTGGGTCTCTGCAATTCTGATGGATTTATGGTTGTTTTAGCCTTGGAATGATAACAATGGATGCACCAGTGAGAATGCATAATGACGTGTTTGTTGTGCACTGTTTTGTCAGTTAATTTTTATTCACACTGTTTATATAATCTACCTGCCCTTGGGATGTAACAATGTTGTTCAGAAGTATCACCGCTAGGGATGCTCCGATTGCCAATTTTGGGGCCGATCGCCGATCGCCGGAATCAGTATCTGCCGATACCGATCGCCGATCCGATCTAGTGGGCGGGGCCTAAATGGAAGATTTCAACATCACTTTAAATCTTCCATTTAAAGTGATGTTTAAAACTCAGTTAATGGGGCTCATTCACTGGAGCTTCCACAAAAAACAATCAACTTAATTATTACATTCAAATTATGTATATTATTCAAGTTTACATTCACTTTGGATAATACCACGGGAGAAATGAGCAAGCGCTCTCTTTTCCTCTCTCTCCCCCTCTCTCTCCCCCTCTCTCCCTCTCCTGACAGCCCGTCAGTATCGTCTCATGCAGCTCGCTGATCCAGTAATGTGTGAGGCCGACAGTGAAGAATAAACATATTTATAACTAGTTTAGCTTGTTCCAGAGGTAGATAAAATAGCTAAGTGTGTTAGGTCTAACTCTTGTGTGTTTCGCTCCGCTCACCGCTCCGTCACAGCGGGTGGAGCTGCAGGATTTCTGCTTCACACACACGTTGCATACCGCTATTTTACTGTCTTTTTCGGACACCTTAAAATAATGCCAGACCGGTGAAGCCATTTTGGCGAGCTTGTTTTGCCGCGTACAGAGAAAAGTGTCATGTATTTTACGTCATGCGATCGGCCCTCGCGATCGGCATGTTTATAGAGCACCGATCGATCGGTAGAGAGTGAGTATCGGCAGATCTCGATCGGTGACCGATCGATCGGAGCATCCCTAATCACCGCCCTTTGACTTGTCTTGAATGTCAGGTTCCTATGGTACTAGATGAGTAAAGGAGATAAGTCTCTTCCTTCCAAGTCTCATGTTACTTATTCAGTTCCAAGAGCTATCCAGCCTATTGTCCCGAGTTCGGATGGATGATAGATACCCCCATCTTAAATGTAGAATCAAGGCATCCTTCCTATCCTTACAGAGCTTGTTCTCTCTTCTCTTAATGAATATTTGGTTAAAGGATGTTTGTAACTTACTTTTTTGTTTGAAGAACTTGGATAATGACGTTTTCCAATATTGCTTGCATTCAACAGAAATAATAAATGTCTAAATGTACAGTAGGGATGCTCCGATCGCCAATTTTGGGGCCGATAGCCGGAATCAGTATCGGCCGATACCGATCGCCGATCCGATCGAGTGGGCGGGGCCTATGGGGATCTTCCATGGGCTCATTCACTGGCGCTTCCACAAACAACAACCAACATAATTATTACATTCAAATGAAGTACATTATTCAAGTTTACATTAACTTTGGATAATAACACGGGAGAAATGAGCGGAAGCTCTCTCCCCCTCTCTCTCTCTCCTGACAGCCTGTCAGTATCGTCTCATGCAGCTCACTGATCCAGTAATGAGTGACCCGGTCACCGGTCCGTCACAGCGGGTGGAGCTGCAGGATTTCTGCTTCACACACGTTGCATACCGCTATTTTATTGTCCTTTTCGGACACCTTAAGAAACTGCCAGACTGGTGAAGCCATTTTGGCGAGCTTGTTTTGCCGCGCACAGAGAAAAGTGTCATGTATTTTACGTCATGCGATCGGCTCTCGCGATCGGCTTTTTTAGAGAGCACCGATCGATCGTCAGAGTGTGAGTATCGGCCGATATTGATCGGCGGCCGATCGATCGGAGCATCCCTAGTATACAGTGAAGAAGTGGTCATAGTTAATTTAAAGCAATTTTCAAAATGGGACAACCCAAAACAAAACAACATGTATTTCCCAGTGCAATTCGAAATGTTCCTTTTGATGCTGTTGAAGTTAATATTACATGGTCTTGCTTCTTGGTGCCATTTT